TGTGTAAATGCAGCTGATCTGGCAATAACAGAGCAGCAACCGTGGGCGGTCAATCATGCTCATGCTCATGTTTCAAAATGTAGGTAATTTTATTTTTTAATTGATTCCATCGTCTTGGGGCTAGCTTTTCTAAGGCTTTAAGGTTGTTTAGTTCACTAGACGTGAAGTGAACTAAATAAAAATCATTAGAGATCGCGTGGCGCGAATCGCCAGGAATGGTTTAAATTTTCTTTTTGATTACTTGGACTGGCACAACTCCAAGTAATTTTGTCAGTTCATCTTTGATCTGATCCAGGGATTCACTCCTGGGCAGACTTTTCAAGACAACACGTTCAGTTTGGTGTCGTAAGTAAAAAAATGTGCTGCTTCTCAGTAAGATACTTGAGAAGACGTTTGAATCCGACCAAGGTTTTAGCCCATACACGGCATTCACCCCGATGGCCAATTTGAAGTGAAACCTTGAATATCACGAAGTACAAAAGTTTCGTGCGAAGAGCATGAAAATCGGAAGTGGTTATCACAATAGGATGGATATTTTCCTTCTTGGCATTAAGCCGAGAAAGTTTATTTGATTTTTTCCCGGATGATGGATCATTGTCATCATCCGTGAGCAAATCAAATTGATTGCTCAAATTAATTTCATCAGAAGGGGGATCAAGAGATTGCCCATTTCTTTTGCGTTTAGGTGCCATGGCGGCAGTAAAACCAACAATCAATACGAAACTAACGATTTTAAAATGGCTCACCACTTTAGTAGCCTATTGGTCCCAAGCAAACGATTAACGTACCCTATTCTAGTTGAAATTCTATTACTACACTATGTTTGTTTTGATTCGCTATGAAAGTTTGACAGATAACATCAGGGGTGTGTGGATTCATGCAGAACATGCAGGGGTGAGTGAAATAGCTTGGGACTGCTTGGGACCGTTGTTCTGGTACTGAGTGAGCCAAAAATAATAATGATTTTCTTCGGGACCCAGTGGTCTTAGAGTTACCTCTATGGTAAAACCATAGAGGTAACTCTAAGACTAGAAGGTCCCGAAGAAACGTGCTCAACTTTTTGGCTCAGCTCTGGTACTTTCTTCGGTCCCAAGCTAATCGATTCACCCCTCGAAACAAAAAGGCCGATATTACATCAATTTCCCCTATGCTGATGATATGAAACTATACATGCAAGTATGTAATAGGTCAGATTTGCAACATTTTCAGGTGGGCTTAAAGTCTGCTTTATATTAATGTTAAAAAGTGCAATATCATATCTTATATCGAAACCATACAATTCAAGACTTCACCTGTACTTTAGGGAATCAGTTAGTTGAAATATGTAGCAAAATTAGGGACTTAGGAGTAATTCTTGACTCAAAGTTGACTTTCGTAGATCATTTGAATACTACAATCTAATAAGCATATAATATGCTAGGATTTTAATAAAGATTTAGTTCCAAAGTTCCAAATTTAGGACCAAATACCATTAAACACTTTATTCAGCTTACGTTAGATCAATTCTCGAATATTGTACTGTAGTTTGGGCTAGTAACTTATATAAGTCGTATAGAATCAGTCCGAAAACAATGTTTGTTATTCGCTCTTAGGAAACTAGGCTGGACCTATTTTCCCCTTCCTTCTGATGAATCCGGTTGCATGTTGATCAACATTTAAACACTAAAGAAACGTAGAGAAATTACCATAATCTTTTTTTGTTAATGATGTAATCTCACAGCGCGTAAATTCAGAAAATGTATAAGCAAGTTTAATTGCTTATGCAGCATCACACATGTTGAGAATTTGGAATTTATTCCAACTATCACCTCATAGAAAAACTTACGGAAAAAAGACAAATCAATAGTAGTAGTAAAATTCTTCTTTATTTTGATTTGTTATGTGGTTTACAATTGCTAATACAGGGCAAGAGGTTAGCCAGAAGGGCTCTTCATCTTTGGTGAACTTTTTGATTTTGTGTTGTACATGTTGTGTGTAATGTTTTCAAATTTTTATCTGCTGAAGTATGTTGTTTGAATGTTTTAATTTGTTATTCTACCTACTTAACCTAACGTGCCAGATCCCTGACGATCTGTTGATCGAATCGCCTACAGCAATCTCTGAACCTTGCGATGGAGTCAGCTCTCCGTAACTTCAGTGTCTGAAGACCAGCCAGGTGGTGGACCTCAGAATTTCTAGTCCGCGGGGGACTGTTAAGGATCATCCTAAGGATCTTGTTTTGGATCCTTTGGAGTTTGAGGTGATGGCATTTGGCGCAACTCTCTCAGATTGGCATCCCGTATTCTATTACGGGAAGGATGATTTGTTTGTAGACAGCAAGCTTATTTTTCAGGGACAGGATAGACCTCCTGTTGATGAGTGGATACAACGATCTTATCAAGATGTTGCACTTAGTTTTGGTTTTGTCAACGTGCTCCCTGAAAAGAAGCTTGCTGTCTAGTGTTAGTCCGAGGTACACGACTTCTTTGGACCATTCCACCACTGAGCCGTTTAAGCAGATCTTATTATTCTCAGACGGAACAAGTCTGGGAGATTTTGAGTGTGGAAAGATGATGACCTGGGTCTTTGCCGCGTTGATACTGATCTCCCTTCTGTTGAAATATTCAGATCTCTCTGAAGTTCGGCAGTCAGAACTCCGATGACCCTACCCTTGTAGACGATGGATGTGTCATCTGCGAACAGAGACAACGATCCACCATCAAGGAGAGCCGGCACCGTTGGTTGGTAGGTTGAATAGAATGGGGCCAAGGATGCTTTCTTGTGGAACCCCGGCAACGATGTTGAAAGCATCCGATGTGATGCTATTCAGAGAGACTAGGAATGTCCTGTCCGATAGATAGTAGTTTATTATCTTCACTAGGAAGATTGGAAGACCATACTGCTGCAATTCGAACACCAGGCCATCATGCCAGACATTGTCGAACGCGTTTTAAACGTCCAACAACGCCATGGCAGATGTTTTCGAAACAGACTTGTTCCGTCTGAGAATGTTTGTCACTCGAGTCAGCTGGTGGACGGTCGAGCGACTTTTCCGAAAACCAAACTGTTCCTCGAATAAGATGTTGTTTTGTTCGGCAGATGTTAGGAGCCGGTGGTAGACTGCTCTTTCGAACAGTTTTGATAACCCTGAGAGAAGGCTGATTGGTCGATAACTTGAAGGAGAGGACGGATCCTTCCCAGGTGTCCGGATGGGTATGACTTTAGCTGACTTCCAACACGAGGAGAAGTAGCCAAGTCTGAGGCACTGATTAAAAATCAGTGTCAGATGGTTGTAGAATCTGGTACTCAAGTGTTAGAGTTCCAGATACAGGATGTTGTCGAAACCTGGGGCCTTCATGTTTTTAGATGATTTGATAAAGACCAACAGTTTGTCAGCCGTAATCTCGGATTCCTCTTGAAAAATGTTAGGAATCTGATGAAGATTGGTTGCATTTTCAGCAACCTCAGATTCATGAGGGCTGACGATGTTTTGTCCGAGATTATGGGGGCTGACGAAGTGTTGACCTATCGCGGCAGCCTTCTCTTCAGGGATTATCAGATGAACCACTGGGTTGCCGTATCAATCCAGTGGGTTCAGTGGTGGAATTGGTCTTGGCTTATTTTAAAGAATTTTGGTTAGTTTCCAAAAGGGCTTTGCACAATCTGGGAGAGAGCGGATCCTGTTAGCAAAGTCCTGGTTTCTGACGTCCACCATCCTGGCTTGGATGGTTTTTGCTAGGCGATTACAGTGGGTCTTAAGGACAGGCAGACCAGAGTCTTATAAGGTCTTTGGAAGATCTGTCAAGGTTCAGAGTATTGCTCACCTGTCTGGATACTGGCACGTGTTGTTCCCTGGCCCGGGATATCACCTCCTTGATGGAATGCAGACACCGGTCAACGTCTTCGGACGTCTCCGGAAGGACACCGTAGTCCACAGTGGAGTCTACACAGTGTTGGAACTGATCCCAGCTGACACGATGTTAGTTGCTTCGGGAAGCTTGGAATCGGTTGACGGATGAGCCCGCATCGGCCACTACCGAATAGTGGTCCGAACTCAGGTGGGTCACAGGTTGCGAGATGTTGTCTCCCATGTTGCTGATGAACGTCGGACCGACTCAGCCGGGTGGGAGTGTCCGGCGCCAGGATGGTGTAGTGAGCCTCTTGCAGGTCATCGTTCAGGATGGTGCCGTTTTGATTCCGCCTTTGGTTGCCACAAGCTTGATGTTTGGCGTTCAGGTCACCAGCGATGATGAATTTTGTACGGTGTCGTATTATATTGACAATATCCCTCCGCAGGTCTGCCGCAGATCCATCCCTGGCGTTTGCTTGTTTCGGGCAGTAGGCCGCAATGATGGTGACGGGGCCGACGGGTGTGAGGACTTCCACTCCCAATGTTTCAACCATTTTCAGCTGGAAACTGGGTAACAGCCGGCAGCAGATGTTGTTCCTGGTAGTGATGGCCACTCCACCACCTCCAGAGCTTGTCCGATCCAGCCTCACGAGCCGGAATCCAGGGATAAATACGTTCATCTCCGGTTTCATGTGAGTTTCTGTGATGATAGAGATGTCGATGCTATGTTCGTTGAGGAAGTCAATGAACTCGATAATTTTGCTCTTGAGCGAGCAAGCGTTCCAGTTTGCGATTTTGATGAGCTCACGGTCCATAACTGAGCATGTAGGTAGCCACAGCTTGGAGCTGGTCGGATTTGTTTTTGATGGTGTTGGCAATGTCGTGCATCTTGAGGAAGATGATCATTAGTTCCGCTGCGGTGAACCAAGAACCATCGTTGATTTCGGGCTGCGGTAGGGACGGTCCATCCTGACGCCAGTTTAGCCCAGGGGCTGTGGGGAGATCCTGCGGCTGTGGAGCAGCAGTCGTCTGTTGACCTGAGTTTGCAGGGGCTCCGGGAGTTTGAGCTTGAGTAGCAGTAGCAGTGGAACGAGCAGCAGTTAATCATTGATTGAGTGGCAAGGGTGGCAGCACTGGAATCGGTCGTCGTGGAACCGATGGGAAGTTCTGATCATTCATTTCTGGCACATTCTTGCGCCAGGCTGGTTTTTCGTCGATGTTTCTTCCGGATCTCTATGTACTCGGCGCGCTTCGGGCAGGCCTTGCTTGTAGCTTTGTGAGCAGCACCGAAGTTGGCGCAAATGGGATCGGCTTCATCGAGTATGTTGCAGGCGTCGGTTTTGTGTTGTTTGCCACACTTGATGCAGCGGCTGACCATATGGAAATTCTTCGTTCCATGCCCGAACAGCAGGCAGTTCCACGGCTGACTGGCTTGTACCGCTCCCACTTCACCACTATGTGACACCTCCAGGACGCGGATGTCCTGGAGGTCCATCAAAGTTGTTGAGTTCTTCTCAAGGTGAACCAGGTATAGCTGGTCGTGGTACTTGACGGCCTTGTTGTGGCGGGCCATCTTGTGAATTTGGACCGGCTTCAGTCCATTAGACACCAGCTCTTCCAAGAGGACGCCGTTTAGTCCGCGCAGGACCACCTTTAACGGCTTAACAGTCTCGATGTCGTGGGAGAAGTACTCCACATGTGATTGGTCCAGTATGGTCTTTACCGCCTTGTAATATTTCAATGCTGGAACCATCAGTTTGTATCCTTCCGTGCACAGCTGGATGGTGTACCGGACGCCCTGCGTGATGAAGAAGTTTATTTTTCCCGCAGTCCGGGAGGGAAGCCCTTCACGTAGAAGGGCGGCATTCTGTCCTTCTTTGGCGGTCCTGTTGTTTCCATCACCGGTTCTGAACCGTCCTTCAGAACGGAGAACCGATTGTTGTCGAGTAGCTTCTTCGCGGCTGTCGCACTGTCCCTGTTGTCCTCAGGCCTAGACCGTTTCCCGGGATTGCCGGCATTCGCGCCACCGCGCGATTTTTTACCCATGGCTGGGTCAGCGAGAGCGTCATTATTCAACGCGAGAAATAAACGGAACAACGCAATCGAACGAACCAAGAGAGCAAGAGAGAAAACGTCAACTGTACTGCTCAACAGCCTGGCATCGAATGATTGACAAAACAATAGAATGATGAATGTCTATAATAAATACTGTGAGATTATTGATGTAACTACATCAATTATTAAAACATTAACTGCGAGAGTTTTATCTCGTAGAACTTAAGAAAATTATGTGTCAGTATATGTATGTATATGTAGTCTACATTGTTTGACGAAATAAATAAATAAATAAATAAACATAATCACCCACCCATCATGACAAGAGAAAACAATAATGCTGTGATATCTGCCTCGTAAGAAATTACATTTTACACTTATCATTTATATTTTCTCATATACTTACAACCTGTATAGAAATGATTATATTCACTAAATTACACATCAAGCTGTTCTCTGTATCACTACCTTGCCGCTTGTGTGATCCAAGTTTTGATCTTATTCTTCGTGACCTCTCTTCTGCAAAACCACTATAGGGTAGTCCAAAAATGAAATAAACATTTCTCATTAAAAACTAGAATTATAGCTTTTGAATTCAGTGTCTCTTTTCTGTGCTTTGTGTGGTGATTTTTATAAACATATATTTAAGCAACGAATTTCCTATCAATATACCTTGACACTTCGTTTCTGTTCGATTGAATCAGTCCAATTGGGTATCCGTTCCGTTTGGTATGTCGAAAAGTATAACTACTTCTTGTGTTTGAAGAGAATAGTAAAGGTTTCTCTAAAAAGGATTTTCATCACGCTTATACGATTCGAGATTGGGTTCCTTGTTTGCTATACCAGTATATGTGGGAACGGATAGTTAGAAGTTAATTTTGCAGTTTTGGTTGGGAAATATCCATACTATCCAGATTATGATTAACCTACGTCGAAGGAAATATATTCGACAAAAATTGCTGTACTCAGATCAAATTAAACTTGACCCAAATTCCTTACATCTTTCCTAAGGATTTAGTAGTCAGCAATGTCATGAACACTGTTTCCATTGGTGCAGGTACCGTTTGTATGAACGCCATTGGAGACGGTCTTGATAGCGATATCGTTGGAAATTTTACCTTTCTTTACTGGGGGTTCGGCGGAAGAAACGTCAATGTTGAACTATCGGATGGGAAATGCCAAGATTAGAATCTTCAAAACCACTTTTGAAACCATCAACAACTTACTCTGTGCTCCAAGGTCATATGGCTGAGAGGAGGCAAACCGACACAAGCTCGTAGAATGTTCTCGATGGCCGTGCGCTGTCGGAAGAGCGAATTAATTACCGGGGTGCCTTTGGGAACGAGTGGCGCCTTACACAGGTAGCTCAGAAGTGACAGAACCGATCGGAAGGGCACGTACTCGGAGTTGGGTTCGTTCTTCTTCTTAATCTGAATTCGCGAGCAAAGCTCACCCAGAATGGCCAAGTCCAGAATCAACGGCGATGCCAGCAGAGAATCCTCGCAGGTGTTGTGAATGATTAGGGTGTTGTGTCCACCGAGCATGATTTGGCTGGTGTATTCGTCCATGGCGCGCTTGCTGTCACCTGGTAATTAAAATGGAAAACGTTTTAAAAATTACTGATTAGGTATAATGCTGCATAGCAACACCATTTATAGTTTCCTCGGGGAGTTAGCATTAAAAATATGTTTTTTTTTCAAAATTATTGGGGGTGGCACTCTTGTCCCACCTGACCCTATAACATTTTGTGCTAAACTATTTCATAGTCTTCCATCTAGTGTAATATTTTAAATAAAAGAGATAGGTTACTAGCATTCTTCACGGTACAGCCTATTCACGCGTGCACTCCATCCAACGAACCCACTCCTCAACCTGAGTACATTGTTTATATTTGTACATTGTTTACTTTAGCGTTCATACTCAAGCAACCAGGCGTTGTCTTTGGAATAATGTCTAAAGTTAAAAAGAATTACAGGTCAGGCTCGAACCATGAGCTTTGAGTGTATTACGCAGGGCGGGGCGTATAAAAATTGATGAATATAAAGGGCAACATCAAATTTTGAGGATTTTTAACACTAAAAACACAAATTATAAATCTAAACTCCTATGAACTGATTAACAAGAACCAACTCAAGCTTAACGGTGCAAATAATGGACCTGCACTGCTTACTGATTTAAAATAAATCTAAGAATTTATTTAACAGCTTTTTCACGACATCATTGCTAGTTTCAAACTTTTGAAATGTTAATGCTGGTTTAATCTTCCTCATCGTCAGCAAGCTTTGCGAATGATGGTTCAAAACGGTGGGGTGGTAGACTCTCTAGAGCTGCTTCCGTGACATCCGCAGAAAACACAGCAGAACTTGTTTCTTGGCTGGAGCTACTTGCGGCTGAAGCACTTTATTTTACAGAAGCGGGCTAATCTGTACAATGTTGATGAAATTCTTCTGTACATTTCACTTGAAAGCGCCAGATGATTCTTTTTCATGAAACCATGGTGGAGAAAGTTTTTAGTGGCACTGGTTGTTTACAATTTTGACAAGTTGGAATTGAGCACTCATCACTGTTTAAAATGGATGTTTCATAACAAACTAGTTTTATTGCGGTTGCTTATCAACACATTGGGATTGATTGTTGGGTTTAATGAGAGCAATTGGCTCTTTCAGACACTATAAAGCAACCATAAAACCTTTCATAAATCTAAATAGCATTAGCATCAGTTGGTTTTATAATATGATTTATGAGGGTTTTGTAGATAGCTTATGGCTTCCTTTCCCACTGGTATACATTCATACTGGCGACAACGCTCTGATGAGGCAACGATACCTTACTCCCAAGCTCCTCCCCTTTTCTTATCCTTCGACAATGTACCCCTCTAACCTCGAGTAAGCCGCGAGTATCCGACCCAACTCCTACTAGACATAGAATTAAGTGAATTTTGTTACAAACAAAGAACAATGAATTATCGGCTCCGTAAAGCTAACGCGATTGAGCCTTACAAATAAACGAACTAGATAAAAAAAAACAATTTCATCAAGATTTGATATTACCATATAGGTAACTCTATGACTAGTAGGTCCCGAAGAAACGTGCCCAACTTTTTGGCTCAGCTCTGGTACTATCTTCGGTCCCAAGCTTATCAATTCACCCCTTGAAACATAGGAAAATTCACGAGCTCCTCATTTTATCTTTCAAAATTTCATAGCGAATCAAAACAAACATTGTGTAGTACTAAAAATTTTACTAGAATGGGGTACGTTAATCGATTTGCTTGGGACCAATAGGCTAGTCAAGTAGTGAACCAATTTAAAATCGTTAGTTTCCACCGGTTGATAATACAACATCACATACTTATATACGATCCTCAGAGTGTTTGTTAGATCTTAAACAAGCCTCTAAATAACATTAAATTTGATGTAAGAAAGGGACATTCTCACTTTAGATGGGTAAATTATTTATATCACCCATTTTGCAGATTCCAAAAGTGACAGCAATTTTAATTTTGCAAAAAAATAATTTAAGACTGCGGACAATTGAGTTCTCCAAGCATAGGATGCACAGAACAGAAGGGGAAGTGCAAACAAATCGGTGAATCAAAAATGGTTCGTTTTTCTGCTCAACAAGCGATGTGTTGTGGTAGCGTTCCACACGGGCTTTCTATGTGCACTCACACTATCATAGCATGCTGCCTATCTTAACTGCAGGCAGAAGATGCCTTCTACCGCTGGGTGCGCTAGTGTTCGCAAATGACAAGTGGAGCCACTTTCAGATCCGAAGTTCCACTCCTGTGATAGGATGTCATGAGCACTACACTAATAACATAATTTTACACACACTAGCGTATACTGTCATGTGCACGGTAAGAATCAAACATCCATTTATGAGTAAAAGTGAACCCATTGTCAATAAAAGCGGCACCACTACCCTAATAAAAAATAACCATAAACGAACGATAACCCAAATAATTGAACTTTTCCACTAATGGTTTGGAAGATACCCAGAACACGTCGTTAAGCAAAATAACCATAACAATTTTATTAGGGTAATTAATGAGTAATTCCTAGGGGCAAGTCAGCTGTACTCCGAACTAATATTTTTGCATAGAGCAAATTTGAGTTACTCATAATTACTCAAAAATGATCAAAGCAGTCTTGTGTCAACAAGTGAAAATACAGTGAATAAACATCGACTGCAATCCAACGAAAGCTTGTGATGAGGTTTCGGAGTCGATTGCAGACTCGATTCCGATGATGGTGGATGTGTGCCTATCGTATTAGGCAGATGGTGATACGACTGCGTAGTGTACCGTTGGTGGTGGATTAGTATGGCAGTTTCGTGGCTATATGGAACTGTTTCCGATGCTCACGTGCTTCCTTCTGACTACGTCAGTAGTTGACAACAAGGCTGCGCTTTGTCGAACCGATAAAGGGGAACCCCTTAGCGATTACTGGCGTCGGATAAGCATCGCAGAACCCTTCAACCCAACACCTGTGACTCCGTGTTACGATTTCGCTAAGATCTAAGATTTTCATTCTATATGTGTGTCATGAATTGAGTTGATACAAGTATTGCACCAAAAAGAGGATGAGTTACCTATTCCTGAAGAATGGAATCCTTGATCGTACCATTTCTTTGAATAATTTAGTAATAAAATTATTAACAGAATGTCAGTTTCTTGTTTTCATTAAATCCTAGCGAATGCTTGCATATTGCAAATATCAACAACAGGAAATTTCTTATTGCAATTTATTTATTGTATAAAGTACAATGTGCATTTGCAATAATAATATAATATTGAATATAACCTGTAACTCTGAAACTGCAACATTGCTGCATTGAATTCTATCAATGCCCCAGTAAAAAAATATTTTGAGAGCCCTGATTATTTCAGTCGAGATCCAGACAAACCAAATGTCTTCCAGTAAATATTCATAAATGTCCAAATTATTTTTAATCTGAAAAAGGTATGAAACAATTAAACAATTAGAATCCATAGGCGATGGGCTGGATCACTAGACTACATTTCAGAGGACGAACAGTTACGTAATTTGAGGATGATGTTCCGGTATGAAACGCGGTTAGATGATATTGCTGTTTGACAGCTCGGGAGAAAGAATAACATAAAAGGTTAAAAACATGGTTACTGAGTCGGCTTGTATTGAATTTTGAGCAACTCGAGTTACTCGGAGTAACTCAAAATTAACTCCGTTCTAGCTCATGATCAAAAGCTGTCTTGCCCCTAGAGTAATTCATTATGCCAATTAAGTAGTAATTGTTAGCTACTGTTAGCAGAAACTGATTGTTGTTAAAATAATTAACTCATTAATGAGTAAAACCACCTTTATCAAAAATGGGGTAACCTTTACTCACAAAAGGGTACTTGACTGTTACCGTACAAGCGTAGGGTTTATTTTCGTTTTGTTGTTTATTTGTACTTTATAATGACAGTTCTCACAGCTAACAAAAAAATTCATCTCACTAACACACGCAACTCGCACCAATACGAACCCGACTGGAGAGGACTATAGAGCTCTCCAGATACACAAAAGTGTGCGTGAGACCGCATGCTACCTTTTTAAGTAGTAGCTTGGAGATCTCCATAGAGTCCGACCTGAGTAGTTTCCACATTTATGCCTAATGACCATTCTGGCAAACGGCATATATGCCAAACGGCATATATGCCAAACGGCATATATGCCAACTGGCATTAAACCAAACTGCATTATGTCAAACGTGGTAAATTCGTATTTTTTATGTCCATTAAGCCAAATTACCACTATGCTAGGTTATTTTATGCCAAACGGCATTCACCCTATATTTAGGTACACCTAATTATGCTTATGAGTTAAAGCAACGATATAGCTTTCATAGCATAGGTAGGGTCCAGGTGTGGGAGCTGCCTCCCTGGCGTCGGTAGCATTGGTACTCAGTACGGAAAACAAGATCGATGGAAAACAAATCAAGGAAAAATCTTTGGTCAGGGGGATGAGGGGCATAGAGAGCTTCCTGCATTTTAACCTTGGATGTCTTACAACGGTTCGAAAAGATCGAAGCAGGTCGCGCTGTAAAACTGACGTGTTTTGTTTTTACTGCGGCTTCCCTTTCACTAATTTTACGAATGTTGTGGTGAAAATTCAGTGTGGAAAACGCGAAATTTGTTTATTTGTTGATGAGAAATTGTGATCATTATCGAATCATGTGCAGCAAAGGTTTTGAATTCCACGTGAAGTTTACGGACAAGTTGCATCCAGCAGTCAACTAAATTGGTGAGTTCACTCATGTTTAATTGTTTTTTTTTCATATACTTAGGGGCTGTTCATAAACTACGTAGACTCTTTACAGGGGGAGGGGGTGTTAACAAATGTCTACGGTCCATACAAATTTTCAAAAAAATGTATGGTCGATTGTCTACGCCGGAGAGGGGGAGGGTCTAAAACCTCTAAAAATCGGTCTACGTAGCTTATGTACAGCTCCTTAGCTAGGGTAGGATATTCAAACAGATGCTTGAGCCTGGGAAAAGAGGGAGGAAAAGATATTAAGATATTATATATCTATCCCAGGCCGTTATTTTAGAAAATCGTTACA